GCTCCCTTTCCAGCTGCCCTGTGCAACGTTGTACAACGGCTGGCAAGCTGCCCTATCAACGGCCTCACCACAAGCCCTTGTCCAAGCACACACGGCCACCACCTCCGTGTTGCACCGGTCGAGGAACACTGTTCAGGTCATTGTGACTTCTTCCCTTTGACATCCGCCTCTTGCTCTTCTAGGAGCTGGTCACAAGAGGGACGGCGATAGTCGCGCGAGTGCTCGTTCTGCAGTCTACCCCAAAAACGCCCCCCAGACGGCCTCACTGCATGATAGTGGCGACACCAGCAACGAAGTCCCCCTGGAGAGGCAAAAGAAATTTCCCCCGGTCAGCCCTTTCACATCTTTCGTGTTGAGGAACGTTACCCAAGGCATAAACCATACCCGATAGACTCGACATCGAGCGAAGGAGACAAAGAATCGCAGTGTCCCGCACCATACCGAATTCCACTCTGGGGTTTCTAAGGCTCAGTATCTGCTACGCTGCCCATGCTGTCAAGCCCCGAATTACACGCTAACGATTGAGGAAGTGGATTGAACAGATGTTGGGATCATGAATGAGTTCTTTGGGACGCAGCTTTCCCAGCAGGATCTGCAGGCAAGGCTTGCGCAAAGGAGACAACGAAATGGACCCTCTCGAGCCATGAGTATGTCGATGATATCGGAAGCTGGCTCACCACCTGGGAATGAGCCTGTGATGGGTATGGGAGGGTTGGTTGGAGGAGATTCGCTAGACGACATCATAATGCAAAATGATAAGGAAATACAACGCCGTCAAAGTCTACCCAGAGGCTACTCGAATCAAGACGTCGACCGAAGAAGCTCCATGTTGGAATTCGGGTCCAGTGATAGCAATCTTAATGGCTTTCAATTTGGTATACCCAGCACAGTTCAGACTGAGGAGCATCTAAGGCGACAATCAACAGGAGAGATAGAGATAGGAGGGTTCCCGGAGATGTCCTCCGGGATGGGCTTGCCAGGTCAACAGATAGGATTCCCTTCTTCGATGCAGGGTGCGAACAGTCTATCTATCGATACAAATAATGGTTTCCAAGGAATGTCTCCGGATATGATCCAAGGCATGATGGGCTACGGCCCCTTGACTATGGAAGGCATGCCCGAGGAAGACTCAGCATTGAGCATATTTTCAACTCCTAATTTCTCTCAACCATATGGTGGCTCCAGTTTGGGGACGTTACCAAACGATTTCCTAATGACAGCCAGTGTGCCGGAATCAATGCAGTCGCATCCAGGCAGCGTCACCCGTGGTGATGACAATAGCAATATAATGCCTGGACCATCTCGAATTGATATCTCTGATGCCACGTTAATGTCATCGCCGAGAAAGATGAATATGACCCAGAACATGGGACCATATGCCTCCCCAACTTCATCAAACATACTTCCATCCATCCCCCAGCGCGATCCATCCAGTATTCCTGGATCGAATCCGCCTACCTCCGCATCTACGCCAACAGTCGAACCCCAGGTAAAAGTGGAGAAGAAGGGTAACTACCAAGGAATATACTCCTCAAGCGGATTTGACATGTTAGGCGCGCTAATGAAAGTTGCTACACGAAAAAATCCTGAGATTAATATTGGAAAAGTGGATATGTCCTGCGCTTTTGTTGTCTGTGATGTCACCCAAAACGACTGCCCTATCATCTATGTTTCCGAAATTTTCGAACGCCTGACTGGATACACGAAGCATGAGGTCCTCGGTCAAAACTGTCGTTTCTTGCAGTCGCCTGAGGGTAAGGTTCAGGCTGGAATGAAGAGGGAATTCGTGGATAATGACTCTGTCTATTATCTTAAAAACCAGATCTCGAACAAGAGAGAGGCGCAGCAAAGTCTTATCAATTATCGGAAGGGTGGTCAACCGTTTATGAATTTACTTACGATGATACCCATCACTGGAGAAGATGATGGAGACGACATCAAATACTTTGTTGGATTTCAGGTCGATTTAGTGGAAAAGCCTGCATCAGTAGAAGGGAAAAATGCTAGTGGACTCTATACGGTTGACTATTCACAAGGGGCGTTGCCGCGATATATATGGCAGCCTCCAGAAGGACTACGGGGTCAGATGGATGGGGGGCAAACTATCAGCCGGGACGATGTCTCGACCGTTCTGAGTTCGATCAACAATCACACGGAGTCAGAGTTAACGAAACGGGTGTGGGACAAAGTTCTGTTGGAAAATACCGATGATGTTGTTCATGTTCTCTCACTTAAGGGCCTGTTCTTGTACCTCTCCCCTTCTTGTCGAAACGTTTTGGAATACGATTCATCGGAGCTTGTGGGGACTGCTCTGTCCTCAGTGTGCCACCCGAGTGATATTGTACCAGTTACTCGGGAACTCAAAGACACATCTACCGGAGCGTCAGTCAATGTTGTCTTCCGGATACGACGGAAGAAGAGTGGCTACACCTGGTTCGAGAGCCATGGTTCTCTATGCGTTGAACAAGGGAAGGGAAGAAAGTGTATCATTTTAGTAGGACGAGAAAGACCTGTTTATGCCTTGGCTCGCCACGATATACAAACTGCCGGAGGGATCGGAGAAAGTGAGATGTGGACGAAGCTATCGACGTCAGGCATGTTCCTCTTCGTTTCAGCAAATATTCGTATGCTTCTGGACCGATCCCCAGATGAGTTGGTGGGCACCAGCATTCAAGCAATTATGCGACCGGAATCAAAAGTCGAGTTTGGTCGCTCTCTAGAGAAAGCAAGAACGGGCAAAATAGTCATCAATAAACATGAGATTATCAACAAGCGTGGGCTATATTTGCAGGCACAGACAACTCTTTATCCAGGGGATGCTCAAGAAGGACAAAAGCCGACTTTCCTAGTAGCACAAACGCGGTTACTCAAAACTTCATCGAAGCCATCATTACAAACATCTGGCTCGCACGGCAGCAATAAGTCACTGAACTCCACTCAACATAATTCTGAAAATTCAACTCCGGCCTCTCATCCCTCGGCATTATCTTCACAGCTAGGATTGGATATGCAGACTCCGAACTCAACTACTTCCCTATCAGGTCCAATCACCCAAGCGGGTGGAGCAGGGCTTGCTATTGGCACTCAGGACGATGCCCTGGCCTCTGAAGACAACATTTTTGACGAACTGAAGACCACGCGATGTACAAGCTGGCAGTTCGAACTCCGGCAGATGGAAAAGAGCAATCGGATACTTGCCGAAGAGTTGGCGGTACTCTTGTCAAACAAGAAGAAACGTAAGCGGCGCAAGGGTGCCGGCCCGCTCCAAAGAGATTGCGCAAATTGCCATACTCGACAGACACCTGAATGGAGAAGAGGACCGAGTGGGCAGAGGGATCTCTGTAATAGCTGTGGGCTGCGGTGGGCTAAACAGGTGAGTCGCAGTAATTCTGATTCAAGGAGCACCGTCCGACAAACAGCAAAGGGCTGGTCCCAGTCAGACTCCTCTACATCTCGAAGTTAGATATCTAGCGCCGATATCTACCCTTGCGCCATCGCGGTTGCTTTTACCCCTTCACGTGCTGTTTTGTGTTCAATAAATTCAACGACTACGACTTAGTTGTAAACCATTCGCTTTAAATACAAAGCAAGATGCCGTATTTTGCGGGCTTAGCACCAGTCGCTTCTACTGCTTCACGCTCAATTCCTGAATTTACGCTGTATCCTTCATCAAAAGCACCAACCACCCAGTATCTTGTCTAACTGGTTTCCGTCACTCTGTCCATCATTGCCACCAGCTCCAAACAACCCGTCCTCAGTTCACTTATGCTTTCGCCCCTTTTTGAGTTTTTTGGCGTTCGAAATCACCAGCCACCTAGATTAACATAGCTCTTTTGGTATAGACCGGTCGAGTATCCCCTCGTAATTCAGCACGCGGCGGTGATGCGGGATCTAAGCATTCGCAAAAATCCACATCTCCAGCTCACTCGTCTTCTTTTCAAAAAGAGGCTGTGCAAACGCCGTCCTTGTCAAATACGCCAAACCTAAATCCGAATCCGAAAGGGAACGAAATGGATATCAAAAGCGAAGGTGCCGCTCGACCTGCTAGTCTTGGTGGAAGAACAACTGCGGGAAGTATGCCTCTCCATGAACACAGTGTGGGGTTTAGAAATGGCGGGGACCGAGGTATAACAATAATTATGGAAGGGGACGAGGCGCCAGCTGAGTGATATCGAGATTAAAGAAAAGCTTGCTGCTGGATACGGCCTCATACATGTTGTTCCTTTACTTCTAAAGGCGTGAATATGGATCTGTTTTTTTTATGGGGCAAGAGGGGCAGACATATGGGATTGCGACCTGAGAATTAGTGGCCGAGAAAAGTGGCGCAAGCGTATATCGCTCCCAATTATTTACGATACTGAACCAGAACTATAGTTGGCGAGCAATGTCTCTATGTTCTACTCTATTCTACTCTATTCCATAACTCAATTACTGATAATGCTCCTTTTACCCAGCAAAAGGTAGCGATGGCGCTCTTGGGGTGGCAATTGTTCCCATGGAAACGGGAAATACTCTTGGAAACGGAGTTGGAAGATTGGTCTTTTGGTCGGCATCTGATGCTAGGGAATCTACAGTCGCTTAAGTGTAATCGAGTTATTTTGGCCTTATATTGCAAGAATGCACATTTATGACGTTGTGGGACATATTCTTGCAGTTACCCTTAAACTTCTAAATTTTCTTGTGACCTCTATATATCTTAGGGCGCTCTTGGTATGAATGGTCTTCTTCTTAAAATGAGCATATTTATCATGTTGTACACGCTGTTTGTAGAATATCACCGAATCTAACATGATAGGGGTTCCAGGTTTGCTTCCCTCGCGTATTCCCTTCCGATCGAGCCATTTGCTCTTGCCTTCCATTCACCTTCACGCTTACCCCCGTCGCTACTTCCGAGCAATCAAGCCTCCCGTTCCTTTTTCGACAGTTCCAAAACTTTATGCTGAGGAAATCCTTAAGCAAACCAAGGAGAAAGCCTCAAAAGGAAATCCATAAAGGGTTAGTGAAGACTATCGGATTTGAACCGATGACCATTTGGAATCACCTCTCATTTCTGAAGAAACTTAGCTGGAATCAAACATGCTACCACTACACCAAGCCTTCCTGAATGTGGTTTTTAAGATTGATGTGCTCACCCTAGCTTATATTGAAGGGAGACTGGAGAGTCGAGAACCGAAGGTCAGCCTTGCGATGGAAAGGGGCCCGCGTCTGATATTGAAAATGGATTGATATCTTTAATTCTGGGGCTGTATAGTGTTTTATTCCTTGTGTGATGCATTTTCGATAAGTCCTTTTTGGATACAAGGGATATATGTTAGTGCTAACAGTATCAAAGTACGTAAAGCTCTATGGGTTTACAGCTCATATTTGCTTAAACCCTAGTTGCTTGCCACCATAAAGAAATATAACATATCAAGGAAAATTGATAAACTTGATGACGGCTTATAGCTTTGGATACTAATAACAAAAATAGATTTGGTTTTTGAGTATAAGGAACTTTCCCACTAGAAATTGGATTGATAAGGTCCCAGTTTTCAAGAGGTATTCCGAGTCCTCTTTGAAGTTTTGCTTCACTTGTGGTACTAAGACATTCACTAGGACAGTAGTTTCTAGCTTATCATATTTACTATTTGGGGATGGGGAAATCTAAGTATCTTTAAATTTCATAGCAAGTCACAGCATGCAACAGGGAGGGGAAAACTCTCTAGAAAAGACTACACATATAATTATGCCAGTATTCTTCTAATTGAAGGATCTCTGCATAAGATCGGGACTATAGTAAATGCATGCTAGGCCAACAAGAATGTATCAAAAAGGAAGCAGACCGGGTGAACTGTACTGCCTTGAATACACCAACGAATGGATTTACTTCTTTGCTTTGCCTTTCCCTTTCGATGGCCCTCCCATAGCAGCTTCCCTGCGCTTTGCCTCCCGTGCATCGATTTCTGCCTTCTTAGCCTTTTCTGCAGCCTCACGCTCTTCCTTCTCAGCTTGCTTTCGTGCAGCCTCAGCCTCTCTCTTCTCTCGAATCAGCTTCAGTCTAGCCAGATCTGCCTTGGCCTCATCAGTTTTTCCGGCCTCATGTAGCTTCTGGTATCTCTCCTTCGCCTGTTGTGCTTGGAGTGCTTCTCGCTCTCTGCGGCTTAATTCTGCGACTGGCTTCTTTCCCTTCCCACCAACACCCATATCCTTTACACCCTCAGCAACCTCATCCACAGAAGCAGGAGCAGCATGGGCTTGCGATCTAGCCGCCTTAGAGTGGTTGGGATTTGCCGGCATATCATCATCTTCACTTTCCTCCTCAGAGCTTGACGGCATATCACCTGGCTGTGGCACACCCTTCTTCTTTGCTATTGCAGCCTCCTTCTTGGCTTTCGCGGCAGCACGTCGTTCCTCTCGAGTCATTGTAGGTTTATTGCTCTCTTCCTCTTCAGATGACTCCTCCTCAGAACTCTCGTCTTCCTCAGATGAACTAGCGTCGGCATTGCGTTCCTGGACTTCGTTTCCGTCCGCATCGAGAGGTCGAAGGTTCTTAGAGAAATGCTTACCACCTGTAAAAATATTTTATTACACTTGCGACAAATTAAGGTGATAGCTGGTGCGCTTACCTCCTCGTGTGAACTTCTTGAATTTGCCGCCTCGGCCACGCCCGCCGCCTGGTGGTCCTCCTGGAGCCATGATTGCGCGAGATATTTATGTCTTTGACTGTGTAGTATCGCAAAGGTATTCTTCACACCTGTTGTGCGAATCAAATATTCTCATGCGACAATTTATGAGTATCACGACACTTGAGGACTTTCAGAGGAGTGAGAAGCAAATGGTTGGAGGGGCATTTACAATGGGACCCCACCCCACTTGAGCCTAACCCCGGCGCTAACTCGATCCTGCGATAGCGCTTTCGGCTAAGATATTTAATCACATGATGTCAGATTTTTCCTCAAAAGCTCAAGGAATCTTAGCATCTTCTTCTCTCCTTACATAAAACTACAATCCTTCCTATTCACTCTGGCTTACGTCTTTTCAATGGCAGGTCTTGGAGGGGAAAGAGGAGGAGAGAGGAGAATTATTATCGCTGATACTTACCCTGCGACCTGTGGCATGAGAATGCGTTGGGCACGGAGAAATATACACAGCGGGACATACACCATATTCCAGGACAGAACAGTAAAGATGACCTTTGAGAAAGCGGATCATGCTGCTCTCTTTCATATGCGTTACTTCCTTTGTGATTGTTCAGCCGCAATGTCTGACTGCATTCACCTTTGATGAGCTGAACAAAGAGTTTTCTAATCTTTTACTTTATCGACGATGTTAGTCAGAAAGTCCTCCCAAATATTCATGTCGTTTTCATAATGTAATTTCGTCTTTAGTTTTTTTTTGGCTATTCTCAGTTGAGAAATGCTCTTATCCACAGTATCAGAACAATTACCTGTGTGAATCATGACTGTTCTCAATCCCACAAAGCGTTTGTTAACAAGACCTGTTGTGTTCTCATTCGATATATCCATGGATCTTTGCTCAACTAGCCCACCGATCAGCACATACTCCCTCAGGTTAAGTTCTATAAGATGACAAATTCTATCGATACAGCCAACTGTCCCCATTGCCGAAACCAACTTCTTACAGTTCGATACCAAAAGGACATATGTAGCCACTGCATGCAGCATTTACAGAAACCACCATCAGTCATATTTCTTCTGGTAAACTGCCCTGGGGTCGAGGTAGACTATGATCTAGACCGCGCAATTCTACGTTGCAAGCAATGCGACCTTATCGCTACTTACAACAAGATGGTAGAGCCAGTCACATCAGCACCCAGTGCAAAGTCTGCTAAAATGATTGAAAAAGACATCGGCAGAGCGCTAGAATTGATGAATGATGAAGCCCTTGACCAGGCAACGCGGGCAATGCTTCGGGAAGCATTACCAGCTATGGAGCAAAAGCTACGGGAGGCAGGCAGGGTTGGGGAGAAAAAACACGAGGAAATATGGAAGAAGCATTGGGGAATATGGGGAAAGGGCAGATTTGAGGTTGAAACCTCTCACCAGACTATTAGGTAATTCACATAACTCAGCTTAGAATTCCTTAAGGATCAACGAGTGACTACCGATAATCCTACAATTCATAGAACAGGGTTTAAGCTATTTAAAATGGAAAAGTTTCTTCTCATAATTTGATAGATAGGCCGAATAGGGAGTGACCCCCTAGAAATTGATCTTTAATTGCAATCTTCTATTGATATTAAGGGATAACAAAATTCACTACCAAAAATATGGCTCCTTGGTTAGCTAAGCGTGCCATGAAGTCCAATTAAAACCCACAAAGACACAAGTACGAAGTGTGTGTAAAAGAGGCAGATTTCACCTCTACGTGAATCAAAAAACTGGATGCTATCTTCCCCATATCTTGCGTGAGAGATTTCCATCTGAAGATATCTAGTATGGCCTCAGGCGTAGTAACTCTTGTCAATGTCAGGAAAGCTCAAAATAGAAACTATGACGAAATTTGGGAGCTAGGATTCAGTAGTAAAAGCGGCAAAGTTTACTACAGTTCTAATATACAATGATGAAATCTTCTCATGATTTAGAATTATTTTCGTAACCTCATATACTCAGATATTAAGAGCAAACTGTAAGTCGTTTTTAGAAACTAAATATACCATAGTTGCACCAACGTCTGGAGTACTTGTACCTTTTTGCCACTTTTAGCTGCATGCTACGAGGCTTTATCCGCAGCCTCCCGCCCGCTCGCATCTTCGATACTGGTATGTTGTATTTGCTCCACCAGCGTAAAGTAATTCTGTATCTTGCAACATCAACACAAAATGGCAGGTTTCTTGCGTGGAAAGCAAGCTGGGATACAGAACGATCTTTCGGCGGGTATCCTACCCGGCCTGTTCTCTCCAGATGATCAAGCACGCTTTGGCGTAAATTCGCAGGTTAAGTAAGTGTTGGCTACAGTCCATCCGAGCATTGGAGCTATCATTAATATTTTCTGTACCAGCTCATTAGCATACGACCCAGTGCAATCATTACTGGCGGTAGGAACGAAAGAAACCACCTTTGGTAGCGGTCAAATATACGTTTTTGGGCAGAGTCGCGTTCAGCTCACTTTTACATTACCCCGCCGAGCCTCGTAAGGATGATCACGCTCCTTGAATTCCACACGAAGAATTTTATACAGGTTTCCATCTATTACTTATGCAATCAAACGCTAACTTTTCTTGAGTGTTAAAACTCTACAGTTCGTTGCCGATCGTTTGATCAGCTTAGACTCGAAGAACGAAATCATAATCTGGGATCTACAGCATGGGAAAAAGCTCGCAGCATATAACCCCCCTGGGGTGGTTACAGCTCTCGTTACAGACCCCATGCTCGATTGGGCTTTGATAGGATTACAAACAGGGGATATTGTCGCATACGATCTAGATCGCGAAAAGCTAGCTCCGTTAAGGCTTCCAAACTTCTGGCGGGACAGAAACCCAAGGTCCCGTTTGCTCTCCGTAGTTTCTATGCAGCTACATCCTCGTGATATCGGGCAGCTTTTGATTGGATATCCCGAAGGGGCTGTTATCTACTCCTTCAAGCAGGCCAAACCTATCAAGTATTTTGAGTACGAGGTACCACCAGGTGCTTCAGGAGGCAATCCAGACCCTTCAAACCAAGGAACTGCCAGAAGACCCCTTCTTACACAAGCATTTTGGCATCCGACTGGAACTTTCGTAGGGACATCACACAACGACGCAAGTATGGTGTTCTGGGATCCCAAGGATGGGAGGGCAATCATGGCCCGAACCCTTTCTGATTCTCATGTCAATATCCCTACAAAGGGATCAAATTCCACGCAAACCTTTGACTTGAAAGAGCCATTCTCCAGGGTCGTCTGGTGTGCAAAGGACAACCCAGATGATACAGGTATTTTAGTGGCTGGTGGTGTTCCAACCACCATGCCTGAGAAAGGTTTGACTTTTCTAGAGCTAGGTCAAACCCCCGTTTATGCAACATCATCGTGGCAGGTTCTCACGGATCATTTCGAAGCCAAACGCCAGCGTTTTCTTCCAACACCCCCTGGCACAGAGATTGTCGATTTTTGTCTGATACCAC